CTGCGGTGTCTACCAGCGCTCCGAGGCAGGAGGTACGTGAGCGTGTCCCTCTGCTCTGGCGTGCTTGGCCGAGGTCTGATGCTTCCCTCTGCCTTCACCAAGCTGATCAGCTTGGGGGGGGCTTCTGGGGCTGGATCACATGCATGGAGATGGCAAGGGGTCTCTTGCCCCGGTTCGGGACCGCGAAATCTGCTTGTTGCAGTTGGCTGCCAGAGTCCTCTGCAGATTTAATGCTGATGCTCTTCTCTCCCTGGCCTCATGGCCTGCTGTCATCCCAAAGCTAGGAAATGATGGGTGTCTTGGGGTGATCTCCTGCCCCAACAGCCCCTGGAGAGAGGGAGAGGGTCTCCAGCCCCCCCATTAATAGGGCCTGGGGGCAGCATTTGTGCCAGGGCTTGGTGGGTGCTATAGGATGGTGTCTTCCCAGGTGACGGCACCGAGGACCTCATATCCCATCATGAAACCCAGGAGGAAGCTGGTTCCAACGGAAGAAAATAAAGCCTGTAATGGTAAGTGGTGGGGCCCAGGGGAAGTGGGAGGGGCAGGGAGGGGGTGAGCCTGTGGGATGAGCTTTCTGGGCAGGATCCTTTCTGACCTAGCTGTCTGTGCTCTACCCTTCCTCCCCTCTAGTTTTGCGATCCTCTTTTGAGATCTTTGCCCAAGATGTGCCTTGGAAGGACTGGAAGAGATTCGGCCGAGCCCTTGGTCTGCTGGAGAATGACATTGCCCTTGCAGAGATGAACGACAGGTATGCGCTGGAGCCCTTCTTCCAGATGCTCCACATGTGGCAGAACAGAGAAGGGCTGAACGCCTCCGTGAACACGCTGCTGGAGACCCTGCACCGGATCAATCTTGGAGGGATCGCAGAGGACATATCATCCAAGCTGGTCCAGCAGGGATCTTTCCAATATGAAACAAGCTGAGGAGCAAGGCAGGCCCTGCATCTCCTCACTTGAAGCTAAAACCATGAATACCTCCAAGAATACTTGAGTTTTATCTTTTTGTAGTCCTCCTGCGGCTCTTTTCTTTTTCAAGCCATTGGATGGTTCAGCTGAGCCCAGAGGAGTTGATCCTCTCATGAAGTACGAGCCTCGTGGTCCTCTCTGCCAAAACTGTGGGCTCAACGTTGCTGCTTCCTTATGAAATCCAAGCTGGTGCCTTGGTTTCACTGGGTTAATGGAAAGAACATAAAATTATTGCAAGCTGCCTCTAGGACTGTCTCTCTTGGAAGCACTGGTACTATATGGATGTCTTCAGGATCGGTGTGGCGAAGGACCTTTGCAGAATGTGGGCATCCCTGTGGTTTTTAACTGGATCATCCTTTTTTTGGGCAGTTCCTGGCATCACGCAATGGCTTCTGCTTGTAGAACATCTCTAAGGTGGCCAGCAAGCTTAATGCTATGTGCTTGGTGGGCGAGCATTAATTGGGGTCTCTGGTTACTTTCTGAAAGCTGTTGACTGAATTGTATTTTAGCTGATAGTGGTTCTGCTTGCTGTTAGGAATCAGTTTGAAACTGGACTTGGAGGGGAGGGTGGACATGATTTACTTGCTCTGTCATCACGGGGGTTGCCTGAGAAAAGGGTCAGTGCGGGGAGCGAGTGAGGCTCCTCCTCGGAGCAGGTTGCGAACTATGGGCGTGCCAGAAACCTCCTTCTCCACCACCTCGGTCAAGTCAGTTGGTTCCCGTGCCCCTGGCTGCGAGGTGGCTTGGCTGTCCCTGCCTGTCCCCAGCCAGCATGGAAAGGTGAAGGCACTGAGGTGCGAGCGTGACCGGGGGTACCCGCCGTCCCTCCTCCAGCTGGGATGGGGTGCTCCTCAAACCCTTTGCCACTAATTCTGGCTCTCACACATAGCTCAGGGACAACATGGCTGGAAAAAAACCTACTGCATTACTTGAGCCCAGCCCACCAGGACCTTCCCCAGCGCAGTGGGAGAGCACAAGGAGCATCACCAGCCCCTCTCCGCGGCTGGGGCTGCCCTGTGCTGCCAAGCACCCATCCCTCCCGCTGCTGCCCCTTCTCCCCCGTTCCTCACAGACACTTAAAAAACCCCTGCGTCTGTGAAACACAAGCAGAACGTTTGTATTTATGTATTTATTTAGTAACTTGTACATATATTAACTTAATATAAAAATAGTATTTTTTTTCTTTTTTTTACTATGCATGGTTGTGTGTTTTTATACAGAGCTCTGGCCCAGCCAGTTTGCTATTTCCAATTTTTACATTGCTCTTAATGAAGGAAGAATAAACTTTTAAAAAATCCTCCTGATTTCTCATCTTTCCCCCTTCCCCCCCCCCACCTCCTTGCTCTGCCCTATTGGCGAGGGTCTGGCCTAGGTTTCGGCGCATGCCAAGGGAGCTGGACTGGATGCTCAGCAGTTGCTCCGTGGGGCACCGAGGACCCGGCATCCCGCAGCGAGGGTCCCCACCGGCGATGCCGCTGCCAGGGCAAGTCCTCAGCAGTGAACCCGGGCTCTGCCTTTCTACCCACGCCACGAGTCCCCGTGCTCTTTAGTCGCCTGCAAAAGGCTGAAATCTCAGTCCCTGGAGCGTGGGGGGGCTGGGAGCCCAAGGCCAAGCGATGCTGCTGCTGCCAGGGGGGGCTGCGGTGCTCCCCGCTCTGCCTCCACCCAGCCAGGGCTCTGTGTGTTGCAATAAGCTGTGTTACAAATCCATGCAGTGCTTGGTGAGAAAAGGGCTCTGCTTGCCCCAGAACCTCGCCCCTTGAGCTGCCCGACGGCGTTCGCACTGCAATTGGGTTTATTGATAACGCGGGTCTGGGACAAGTGCTAAAAGCAGGAGCTTTCGGTGACCTGCTGGGGGTCCTGGGCAGCCCCAGCGTGCCTCCCAAGCATGCAAACCAGGGCAAGGAGCTCCTGCGGAGCCAGGCACATGCAGGATTTAGTGCCTGGACACGGGTCCTGGTCCAGGGAAGGCAAACAGGACTGGGAAGCAGCGGCGAGCGCCCGGATTTGGAAAAGAGAGAAACTTGTTGTCCTACCTGCTCGCTGGTGCTGCAAAGTGAGAGAAGACCGAGTGTAAGCTTGCTGGAGCCACAGCCTTGCTCCTGCAGCTGAGGATGAGCATGCAAACCGAGTGACTCCCAGGTGCTCCAGCGAGGCCAGCAGGGAAGAGGAGCAATGCCGAGCGGGAGGGGACACCCACGGGAGCATCCCCGCCAGCAGCAGCCTTACGTGCTCCTTCCAGCAGGAAGGGTTGGGGATGGGCTCAAAGGAGCTTCCCCCTTCCCAGCTGGGGAGGGTGAGCAGAGTTTTGGGTCCCTCCCTGCCTGACAGTCCTGCAAACCCACCCCCCCACACACCCTGGGGGATTGTGCTGCCTTCTCCTGCCATGTACCCACGGTGTTCGTCCACCTGCAAGGACACGGGTGGGATACGTGAAGTTAGTCCGAGGGCAAAGCCCCCCCCTCAGTGTACAGGGTTGGTTTGATGGCTGGATCCTGCAACGCTGTTCCACTGTCCCTGTCCACCCCAGGAGCGCTGCTGGGGGGGTGCTGGCATCACCCCGAGCAGGGCACAAGGCTGCCCCGTGTCCAGCCGCTTCCTCCCAAACACACAGGGACCACGCTGGGCTTTTAAAATACCATTTATTACAATGGAGCCTTCCAGGCTAAAATCCCAAGCCAAGGGCCTGGGGTTGGCTTCTGGTGGGGCAAGTTGGGGGTGGGGTTGGGATTTTTTTTTTTTTTTTTCTTTAAGTTTTTAAACAAAAATGAAAAGTTAAGAGGCAGGGAAGAGAGGGCTCCTGTCCCCTCCCGTTCCCCAGATTAGGCCAGACCCCACTTGCGAGTAGAAGGAGGGATGCTGCAGTGCCTGGAGGCATTTGGGGACCGGGGTCCCCTGCACCGTGCCTGACCCTGCTGCAAGTCAAAGGGGGTGGCAGGACCCCCCCAGCGGCTCCGGCTGCCCATGGTGGCAAGATGCCATCAGGCAAACCAACCATATCCCGCAGCTTCTGGTTACAAATTAAAGTGAAAGCGGGATGGATTTTCTTCATCATGCTGCTGATGTTCAAAAAAAAAAAAAACACCCCCAAAAAACAACCCCCCAAACCTCAAAATAAAATAAAAGACAGCCCTCGTGCTCCTGTAAACATGAGTTTCT